AGGATGACTCTGCCCATTAATCAGCTGTAGTTAACTCAACAGAAAAAGAACACCAGTAAGATATACACAGGTACAGATGTTATGGTTTATCCATTCCAACTGTATGAGTGAACAACCAACTGAAACAACCTTTTATCCTTTGAAAATTGGCAAATTGTGCATTAAGAGAACCATCATGACTTCTGCCTGTAGTCATAACTACATTCCATTTAAAAACATATTAACATTTAAAAATGAATAGCTTTACAACATTTTTTCAGAAGGATCTGGATGAGTTGTGGCAATCTCTACATACTGTGCTTTCCAATTTCTGTATCAGCAGGAAACATTATGGTTTTCATTACATAAAACAGCTTAGGTGCTATCCAGCATCATCTTACAGTGTGTAGGTTCCAATATTTCAAACTTCCAACTTCAAATTTATACTTGCAAAGTATCACAAGCTAGTCAGCAACAGAAATAGTACATTAAGGATTGGATCCAGATCCTTCCATCACAGGAAGGACAGCCCTTGTACAAACAGACCTGGAAACAGACTTCCACATCCTCTCTCCACCCCACTTCCCACAGCTCTCCACAATGCCCTCTCAATCTGCCCTAGAGGTTTGAGAGACCATCTGGAACTGGTTTGGATGGTGCATTGGGAGAAGCTGCAGAGATGGGAACAAGACCTAAAGTCAGTTCCGTAAGTGATGTCCCCCGACTGGTTGAACAGAAAATCTGGATCCAACTCCATTACTTAAGAGAAAGTTCTATTTAAACTCAGTGGACTTACTGAGTAGAGTTGTGTGATCAGTGACTTCTAGCAGCAGTAATTACTAATTGATTCTATAGACCCAATGCACGAAGTGTTCACACAGGAATATTAGGCTGTTCTAAACTGTAATGCCTTCACATATCTCAGTCCAGGGATGACTGTAAACAAAATGTTTTGCTAGTGCTTCATGACATGCTGACACCCAGTGCGCCACCCCCGCACACATTTATACTCAGTGGACATGAACTTACCTTCAAATACTCTAACAAAACTGTTTGGTATATGCTTAAAAATACTTAAAATAGTGAATTGCTCAAAGCAGCTACAGCTTTGCAATTCTGAACTAAACAGTAAGTGTCTGGGACGAAAAAGCAACATAAAATTGTTAACTTAAGAGGATACTGGAATCTAATATGCAACATTAAGCTGCAGGAGGTCAGGAGGTTTCAGAAAAAGGAACTTAATAATGGGCACAAACATGCTCAGGCCCACAAGGTATGCCACCACCCTTAAAGGGTGCAAAAGCTGCATTGAAAAATTATCTGCTGTGATGATGTATTATTTACAGGCTGGCAGGAGAAGAGGAAAGTAAGAACAAGAACTCCTTTTATATGTATGGCTACAGGATTGTGTGTCTAATATGCTCCTCGCAAAGAATTGGGGCATACAGATATGTAATCGACCTTCGTCCTTTCACAATAAAGTTACTTTCACAATGGAAGTATCTGTACAGAGGAAGCCGATTAACCTAACCAGGTCACGGAGCCAGAACTGCGGCCTTACCTCGTGGGAAGGCGAGAGCAACCAAAGGGTGGAGGGAAGCACCAGAGTTATGCAAATACTTGCTACACCTGCTCACCTAGCCAAAGACACCTAATTGGTACCATGCTCCGGAGCAGCTTCCTCCCTCGCAGCAGCCTTTTCTCATACACGTAACCAGTCTACACGGCCCGCCTCGTGCTTGACGTCACAAAGTAGTGGGAGGGGGGCTCAGAACGTTCAGGAGACGACGATTCCAGAGAGCCCAGGCCCTTCCCTTTGTGACGTAAGGACAACAAGAACCTGGCTCCCGACTGGGCTGAGTGGCCGGGAACGGGGGGGCGGGGGCTCGTGCTGACATTTCGCTTAACCTGTTGCTGCCGCTGTGTAGAGGATGCATTAGAAACAACACACATAGCTGAGAACGGCTGGAATATCCAAAGTAGCAGCCATGCTTGTGATCACTATTCACTGCAATGGCAAAACAGCTCATCTGTTCCCCCTTCCTCCTTGCATCCTACCCCCTCATATTTTTTTCCAACTTGACGAATCTAAAACTTGTGGTCTCCCCTTTCCAGCATAGCGTGCCTTTCCAAATGGGGCCAGAGGAGAGGAGTGGCACTATTTCTTTTTTTTTTTTTTTTCAATAAGCTGCATGAGCAGAGCAGAGTTGCATTGTTCACTCGTATAGACGTGGAATAGCTTTAACAGATTTTGGAAATTAAAAAAAAAAAAAACCGCTGCAAATTCCCCACCCCCTTTCTGCTTTGTTTCACTACAGGAACATGCAAGCGGTGCACGTTTCCCAGAAGGAGACTTCTACCATTAATATTCTTCTTTCGACAAAAAACTGTAGTTTAAAGTACCCTGCATTAGATGCTCACTTTCCTCTGCAATGCGGATGTATTTTTTTAATTCGTAAATTCCTTGACAAATTGCTGAAAGTTTCCCGTTATTGTGTGGCCTCCTGTTTTCACAAAATAAAGGACAGCAAAAATAGTAAGGCTCATCCAAAGTCTACTGCGGCTTTAGGAAGTGTTTATTAAAAACAAAGGGCGAGGATTTGGAGTGTCTGTGACCCACGACACAGACACCCCACCAGAGAATGCTCTCCTTCCAAACGACCCACGCATTATATTATATACAACTTTTGCATGTCATCTCGCGTGTTTATATTTAAATACATTTTTTTACCAAAGTAAAAGCCTCTCGTTATTAAGTGTTTTGGTT